TTTTGAATCGATTCAAAATTCTAAATCACATCCCCCGTCCGGGAAAGTCCATGAAGTTCGTAAACAGACCGTAGAACGTTGTAGCTACGTTCATTCCGTTCGCACACAGTTTAAAACCGATTCGGCATCGTTTTGACGATCACCAGAAAATTTTGAGCATGCTCTAAGTTCTGGAGGACCTACTCGTTCTAGTAGTTTCATGAAGTTTGTAAACGGATCCCAAACGGTTCTTAGTGGGTTCTTAGTACGTCAAATTCGTTCGTGCACAGTTCAAGCCCGTTTTCGAGAACGTAGTGAGAACTAGTTTGGTGTGATAGTAGGGTTAGGGTGATATGAAAATTGAACCACTAAAACTGATAATAGTTAAGTTAAGGTGCTATGGAAGTTAACAGGAAATGACAAAAAAAAGTCAAAACCATGCTGGATTTTGAAAATTTTTTGAACCAAGATAACAGAGTTCTCTTTAGACCTCCAGTCAGTTTAACTAGTTCCACATATCATTTACATAACTGGGAACACAATGGAAATGGTCAGAATGACCATAAACATGATGAAATAACCTTTTCAGCTTTGAAAATGTGACTGAAAAATAGCTAAGAGTAGGTGCTCAGGAAAGGTCACTGAACAGAATCTTTTGACTTTTTCAGAAAATGTGCCCAAATATATTGCTCTAAATGATACAATTTTAAAAAATTTCATATCATTCTTAGAAAAAGAAAAAACTGAAAAAAAACTGAATTTAAAATAGATTATATATATTTTCCTTTTAACTACAGCCATTATTGTTAGGAAATTAGAACAAGGCACAGGACGTGAACGAGATCACACCATCAAATAGGTGTAGAACTTGACTGTATCATGTGTGCGAATTTGAAGGAAATCCAATAAGCGTTTTTTTCTAAAATGGTGATGACAAGATTTATCAAAAAAAAAACACTACAAAATGGCCACCAGAAAACAAGATGGCCACCCAAAAGTTAATCAGCTCTAGTTCTTGATATCCTCTATCATGTGTGGGAATTTGGAGCAAATCTGATGAGGGGTTTTCTTGAAATGGCGATGAGAAGATTTATCGAAAAACCTTCAAAATGGCCGCCAGAAAACAAAATGGCCACCCAAAATTTAATAAGTTCTAGAACTTGATATCCCCTATCATGTACAGGAAATCCGATGAGCAGTTTTCCTGAAATGGCAATGACAAGATTTTTCGAAAAACCTTAAAAATGGCCACCAGAAAAGAAGATGGCCGCCCAAAAGTTAATCAGCTCTAGTACTTGATATCCTCTATCATCTGTGCGAATTTGAAGGAAATCCGATGAGCGGTTTTCCTAAATTGGCAATGACAAGATTTTTTCGAAAAAACTTCAAATGGCCACCAGAAAACAAGATGGCTGCCACAAAGTTAATCAGCTCTAGTACTTGATATCCTCTATCATGTGTGTAAATTTGAAGGAAATCCGATGAGCGGTTTTCCTGAAACGGCGATGACAAGATTTTTCAAAAAACCTTCAAAATGGCCACCAGAAAACAAGATGGCCGCCCAAAAGTTAATCAGCTCTAGTACTTGATATTCTCTATCATTTGTGTAAATTTGAAGGAAATCCGATGAGCGGTTTTCCTGGAATGGCGATGACAAGATTTTTCGAAAAACCTTCAAAATGGCCACCAGAAAACAAGATGGCCGCCCAAAAGTTAATCAGCTCTAGTACTTGATATCCTCTATCATGTGTGTAAATTTGAAGGAAATCCGATGAGCGGATTTTCTGAAATGGCGATGACAAGATTTTTCGAAAAATCTTCAAAATGGCTGCCAGAAAACAAGATGGCCGCCCAAAAGTTAATCAGCTCTAGTACTTGCTATCTTCTATCATTTGTGTAAATTTGAAGGAAATCCAATGAGCGTTTTTCCTGAAATGGCGATGACAAGATTTTTCGAAAAACCTTCAAAATGGCCGCCAGAAAACAAGATGGCCACCCAAAAGTTAATCAGCTCTAGTACTTCATATGCTACATCTCTGCGAATTTGTAGAAAAACTGATGAGCAGTTTTCCTGAAATGGCGATGACAAAAAGCGGGACGATCACGATCACGACCACGATCCCGACCACGACCACGACCAGTATGACGACTATATCCCACCGATGGTGTGATAAAAAGTGACCACCTGAAATCGTAGGATTCGGCCAAGTGTGCCAACAACTGATTCATTCCGTCCATGCTTGCGTTGTGAAAAATATTGCCAGCTTTAACTCTCCCGTGTATCGATTCTTGTGTGCTCGTCAAGCGTGGCACAATGTGAGCTCCGGATGTGTTTTCTGATTGCAATCATTAAAAAAGTATTTCCCATTCATTAAAACATTAAATACGATTTACTAAAAAACCCATTGAGATGCACATGGTATTATGCTAATATTCTATAATTTCTCTTGAATGCCCATGATTGCCCTCAGCGTGGTGTTTAACCCTTTCACGACGATATGCTCAATTTTATGTAATACCTTTCAGGACGATAGGCTCCTTTTGGCACCATAATTTTATTTATATACATCAATGAAATGGCAATCTTCAGTAACAGTATTTTTACACCAATAACATAGTTTTCAAGTTTGACAGGTTTTACTAATGTGCTAATCCTTACTAGAAATTGTATTTTAGTGATACGATTCAAGATATACATGTAGGTCCCGGGGCGTGTGTAATTTGCAGTTTTCCCCTAGAAACCGCTCTTACTTAACATTTTCCTCTCATATTGACGTCGGAAAATGGTTAAGGTAAGGGTGCACTTTGATGAAATTGCATGACCATGTGCTATTTTCAGATAAACATAACTCATTCCGGCGCACATCATTTACATCTTTCATTCTTGCACAAAAGATTAGTGTACCTAGACTATACATTGAGGGTTGATAATTATTCAGAATGTTTGAATAACTAGAACATCCAGTGGTTTACTTTTCAAAATTGCAAAAAAATCCAAAGTGCACCCTGGCCTTAAGTTTTGATTGTAGCTTAACATTCACACGGGTTCATATTTAAGGCAACACTGCCTGAAACCAAAATGCAGGCCTAATATAATGAATAAAATAAATGTTTAAAATGACAAATTGTACATTGAACTGTTGTATCCAGTTATATAAGTAGACGTGGCAGGCCCGTAGCCAGGGGGTTCGGGGGGTTCGGGCGACCCCCCCCCCTGGCCAAAATTTCTTTCAAAATCATGCAGTTTTTCACCATTCTGACTATTTTTTGAGTGATTTTTGGCCAAATTTGCCAAAGTAAACCCCCCTAGAATTTTTTGGAAAAGTGAACCCCCCCCCCCCCCCCCTTGGGAAATTCTGGCTACGGGCCTGCGTGACTTTAAACTGAAAACAATAGATGAAATATAAATAAATAAATGAACACGTGAATTTAAAATAGTTTATGACAATATTACTCAGCCCTGGGGTAGAGAAACGCAATTTTCATTCCATTCACAGCATGAGTTCGCCTTACATAATAAGTATATTATATTTTGTTACGGTATTAGCTTTTCCTAAGCCATTTAAGCTTGACTGAGAGACTTAAAGGTTACATGGTACATGTATATGTTATAAAGTTTCAAGCTTGAGCAGTATACGACATGTATCAGTTTATCAAGATGCCTGTTCGTGAAGTTGTTCTCGTATTAGTCGCAATCATTACGACTCAGATATGTCTCGCTGCAGAGTATGGCGTTATCGTTGACGCTGGGAGTAGTGGAAGTCGGGCGAGAATTTACACATGGCCAGAAAGAACCTCACTTAATCAGATTCTTCAACTGACGGAAGTTGCAAACAAGAAAAGTCGTCCAGGACTGAGCGCGTATGCCAGCGATGCCGCTGGTCTAAGAAACCACATCGATGAACTTCTGGATGCTTGTAAAGAAAATGTTCCATCCGAAAAACGAGCAAACACACCATTTTATATTATGGCGACGGCTGGCATGAGATTACTCCCGGGTGGAGACGCTTTCTCCGTTTACCAGCAGATCGACAACTTGCTTATGAACAAATCTTATTGCCCATTTGATTATAAAAGAGGGAACGCCAGAACTCTATCTGGGGAAGAAGAGGGGGCCTTTACGTGGATATCTGCAAATCAGTTGAATGGGCTATTTGGACAGGACCGCACTACAAACGACACTGTTGGAATAGTTGAGTTGGGCGGGGCCTCGATGCAGATCGCATTCGTACCAGAACGTAATATTTTAGCAGATAAATTCCCGGTTTACGTTGCAGGGCGATACTACCCTCTGTATGTCCATAGTTATCTATATTACGGTCAAGATTTCGCAGTTATGAAGATAAGGGACAATTTATTTCGAGACTATGATCGATCATCAGGCGCCTCCATAAACAACCCATGTATGCTGACCGGGGACTCGTTAACGGAGACTATGGATGGCGTCAACGTCACTTTCATCGGAACCGCAAACGCTGATCAATGCCTTGTGTTGATACGTGAAGAATTGATCTATAAAGTTCCTGATTACCAATGCTATCCCAAGCCATGCGCCATTGGACAAATATATCAACCAGAGATCCCAGAAGATATGGTCTTCCATGCCGTTTCCGCGTTTATCTATACAATAAACGATATTGGCGCCAACGATGCTAACGATATGACAACAGCCAGCGTTGTCGAGGCAAAAACCAGAGATTTCTGCCAGCTCGGATTGCAAGGAGCCATTGATAAAGCAGGCCAGTGGGGGAAAACCCGGTGTATGGTCGGTCTGTATATAAGCAGCCTCCTAACCGATGGGTTGGGATTTGAACAAGATGAATCGATCAATGCTGAAGGGGAAATCGACGACCAGGAGTTAACATGGACGCCTGGTGCCATGGTCTATGAGATAGAACGTCGCGATAGGGGACGCACGATGGACGCCGATGACAAACCCACATCGAAAGCTCCGTCAGTTCATTGCTCACTCATTTTAATAAGTATTCTTTTCACCTTGACCACGGGACTCATAAATGGTAATTGCAAAGTGTATATATTGTGCTTAGGGATCGCAATTTCAACATTGACTCAACGATAGAGCTTAACTGTTCAACCAAATCATAAACCGGTTCGGTTCATTTCAAATGACACTAATCATTTTGGTGAACAGAACGGAACTTGTTAACTCAACACCAGATGATGTAACTTCCATAACTCCTGTTGCAAGAAAAATAAAAACAAAAAACATCTCTTTATATCATTCTGATGTTGCTCTTTTAACAAAATTTGTATTATCCTTCATAATCAGAAATATGCATAAAATCGAGTACCAATCGCCTGGACATTCTAGATAGTTAAAATTTTTCCGAGGAATAATAATGGTTTTAATTTGGGAGAGGTTTGGAGGGTTTTTGTCACTTATGTGACATGCAATCAAGAGTTATACATACACTTATTAGAATTTAACTTATACCAAGCCTGGATACTATCACTATATCAATCAGAATTTTTCTGCAACTCGATAGTAAGTTCATTTTCATAAATAATGAAGATAACTGATCCATCTTATCCTGCCCATATTATTATATACCCCATGTGTATTCTAGATGCTCATGGTCACTGGGAAGTCCTGAATCCCTGCTCACAGGGAAGATAAAACGTACCAATCACCACTTAGGTCATGTGACAAGTCATTACTATGTTTTATCTTCCCTGCAAGCTGGGATTATAGGAGTTGAAAGGCAAAATGAATAATGATGCGGGTAGAAATGAACTTGATTTACGTATTTTGCATAACTATTTGTAAGGGTGATATGAAAATTATGAATATTTAAGTTAAAAGGAATTTTCTACTACAATACCCGCCATGCTTTCTGACCTGAATGAGCCACCTGGTGGTGAAACAGGTAACTACCAACTCGCTTCTGAGTTATTGAGCATCTATTGTTGACTTTAGAAGTGAAATAAATAACGACATAATCCTATAGGCCATCAGCTTCACCCCAAAAATTAGGTTATCGGTACCAAGTTAGGGGAATAAGCCTCATTGTGATTTTTGGCAAGGTAAATACCTCTAGAGTAAGAAATTATATGATAGCATTGTAGGAGTGGCAGCTAAATGGGTGTTATCACCCATTTTTCAAAATGGCCGCCGGTGCGCTTACTACCAAATAAAAGAAGTTATATCTAAGTATACTGAGAGACAAAAACAGTGATTTTGAGGTCTATTTCAGGGTTTTAGGGGTCAAGGATTTCATTTAAGTCAAAATCTAAGTCATCAAAGAATTGGAAATCCAAGATGGCTGCCAAAATGGATGTCAAAACAAATATGTCACTATTGATACAAGTTCAAAAAGCTCAAAGAACGGTTAAAAAGTGACTTTGGAGACCAATGAAAGGTTTTAGAGGCTAGGGATTTTATTTGTCTCTAATTCTAAGTAATCAAAGAACTACTTTACATAGAAATCCAAAATGGCCACCAAAATCGATGTCAAAATGAATACGTAAATATTTATGTAAACTCAAAAAACGGTTGCTTTTGCAGCCCATGGTAAGGTTTTAGAGGTTTAGGATTCCATTCATGTGTAAATTGAAGTGATTTAAGATTACCTTTATATAGAAATCTAAAACGGCTGCCAAAATGGCTGCAAAAATGAATTTATAAGCACATAGAAAAATTAGAATAGTTATGTTATAGATATCTGAGACTGGGTTTCATGGTTTCAACTTACTAGCCTTTACTTAAGTTATCTTAACCTTTCCTCATATTAAAATCCAAAATGGTCACCAAACTGACTGCCAAAATAAATTACCACATTCACATAGAGCACGACTCAACCATCTAACCTATTTCCTTTATTGCCATCTTGAAGTTCACAGGCTGCAGACCTAGTTCTCTCAACATGATGTTCCGAGAAGAACATTGGAAGCCTCTAAAGCCTACATGCACTGGAAAGTGTCTCACCTTCCACCCTTTACACCTTACTTTGTCAATGAGGTCTTCATACTTGGCGCTTTTCAGTCCATCCAAGCTATTATCTTCTGTGTAATTGTAGACTTGGATTGAGTTTGTCCTTTCTTTACAGACCTAAGGCCCTCGGGCAGATATATTATATTGGCCTCGGGATAATCCCAATATTCTGAACCTCATATTATCAACTCCCTACATTGCTAAGGTCAATAGCTTTCATCCACTTTTCTAGTTCTCACAGATGCTGCTGTTGGGGCCCATCAATATGTATATCAGTCAATTGTCTCATCATGGATAGTATGAAAAATTGCACATTAGCTTCATTTGTTACCTTGCTCGCAGAGTCTAGTTAAACTAGAGATGAAGCTCTCTTTTCAGAAGCGAAGTCGAATGAATGCAAAGGATATTCCTTTGTATACCACTCAGTTGAAAAGATTCCTGGGATTGCACTACATACATCTCATCTTCTCCAAGCAGCTTAAAATCCGTTATGCTCCAGGGAATGACTAGGTCATAACATTTATGATGTCCATAAAGGCTCGGCAAGAAGGATGTCTTGTATCATCATTCCCTTTGAGACCTTCATATTAGGACTCTTCTGCTTTCATAAACCAGTTCATTGTTTTGATGAAGAGAGTACAATTGAGATGGTACATCACATCAGGGCCATCTTTGATATTCAAATGAATATGTTCCAAAATTAATTATTCATTTTGGCAGCCATTTTGGTTGCCATCCTGAATATCCAAATAAAAGAATTATTTGATGACTTAAAGTTCTTCAACCATTGAAACCTAGCCATTGACTTAAAATTCTCGACGATTGAAAGCTAGACATGGTCTCCAAAATCACTTTGTAATTGTACATTGAGCTTATATTAATGGTAACTTATTCATTTTGGCAGCCATCTTGGATTTCCACATCAAGTTATTCTTTGAAAACTAAGATCCCCAAACCCTTTGATGATCTACAGAACTACATTTTAGCTATTCTTTGAGCTTACATTAATAGTTACGTGTTCGTTTCGGCTCTCATATTGGCGACCATTTTGGTTTTCTATGAAAAGTAATTATTTGATTACTTAGACTAAAATGAAGCATAAGTGAAATCATTAACCCCTAAACCCTTTCATGATCTATAAAATTGCTTTTTATCTGTTCTTTTAGCATGTATCAATACATGTAGTTACACCACCTATTTTGGCGGCCATCTTGGATTTACATATAAGGTAATCCTTTGATGACATAGATTTAGACATGAATAAAATCCTTAGACTTGAAAACCTCTTCTAAAACTCTTCAAAATCATTTTGAAACGTTTTAGCTTGTATCATTAGTTACATATTTGTTTTTGAACCAAAATTGGTGGCCATCTTGGATTTTCATAAGAATTTATGTTTTGATGACTTGGATTTAGGCATAAATCGAATCAGTGACCCCTAAAACCCAGAATTAGACCCTAAAATTACTGATTTTGCCTCTCAGTATGCTTAGATATAACTTCTTTCATTTGGTAGCAAGCACACCGGCAGCGATTTTGAAAAATGGGTGATAACACCCATTTAGCTGCCACTTCTGCAATGCTATCACATATTTTCTTACTCTAGGGGTGTACACCTTCCCAAAAATCACCATGGCCATTATTCCCCTAATTTGGTACCGACCAACCCCCCAGGCTGATCGCCTACTACTATAGCATTAATATGAGAACCTTCATTTGGGAAGATGAGGATTTCAGCAAGTGTGTATTGAGTTAATATGGGATATGTAGCATTGACAGAACATCATATCTCATGCTATCATCATGGGGATATCATGAAATCCTCGTCTCAACCATCATGGGCTTTCATGTCTCAATCAGTGAAATTGTGTTTCTGTACGTGCATATGTATTTTCAATTCTAAATTGGTTGGAATGGGTTTTAGCCTAACCATCACAGACCCTGAAGATGTATATCGAATATCGGGGATATCATGGCTGACGCGACTAAGTTATAGGCACAATACATGTACGGAGAAACCCCCATGGAGTTTTACCATTTCTCACATGAAATACTATAATAAAAGACGTCCGAGGAACAGTATCCCGTGCAAAAATAACGGAGTTACCACAAAACGTAATATCCAAGTGTACAACTATAAGAGGGGTGTAGCCAGCTTTCAGTCAGGGGGGGGGGGGGGGTGGTGCGTTCGCCAAAAAAAATCACGTTTCAGTCGGGGGGATGCGACTGTGGCATAAAAAAGGCAAAAACATAAGATTTATTTTGAATTTTACAAAAAATTGATGCAACTTCCTTCAAAACTGAGCTAGAAGCTTCAAATAAAAAGCATTTTAAAGCTCTTTTCTTCTTCTACCGCATGGCTCTTGGGGGAGGGGTGCGATCGCTGGCTGGCTACGCCTATGTATCATGATTCAAAACAATTCTCCAATAACGTACGAAGAAACAATGCCAAATCCATCCATCATTTAATAAATGATATAATACCACAATCTAAGCCGATTTAATAGGGAATTATTCTGATTGCATATGGTGCAATAGTATAGTTTCCATATAGCTTTTGAAATCTCGTTAAATCTCGTTTTTCGTGAGACTTTAAGAGACTTGCATATTAGACCTCTAATGATTTACATTACCTTCTTTTAAATGGCATATTTGAATTCAGTGAAATGTTTTCTCCTATAATAGCTTTGATTTACACAGTTATGTAATTTGAATAATTTTCTATAACAATTTAAAAAAACTTGGGCCAAATGTCCATAGATGCAATGCTTAAATTCTTTAAATCCATGGATTATTTGTATGTCGATCAACATTTGCATGTTTAATCACATCATGTACATAAATAGGGTCATCATGTGGTATATCATTCAAGTTTTATACAGATTCAACAAACACACTTTGATAAATCATGAAATTAAGCCACCATTTCCAAGATTTTAGCATGTAAATGAATTGAGCTCTAGCCCAAGTTAAAAGCTGAATAAAAGATGGCAGCACGAGATTTCATTGATTTTTTTGCTATTTAGAAACCATCCTATTGATTGAAATGATATTTTATTATTGTTCAATAAACACATATTATATGGGTTAACGTTATTATAGGGGTAAAATATTATTGTCATACTCAGTGTTATCAAAACAATAAATCTGAATTTTAGAAATTGTTTTTGTTTTTAAAGTAGTCAAATGGATCTTATTTTTGAAGTAGTCATATGGATCTTATTTTTGAAGTAGTCATATTTATCTTATTTTTGAAGTAGTCATATTTATCTTATTTGGTGTTGAAGAATAAGTGAGAAATTGGATTCAGATAAAAAATGTTTTTTGAAATTTAAGTTCCAATTGAATCAAATATATAGAACATGGCACAAAAACAGAGTAAATGAATTGATAAACATTGTTTAGTTGTGAAAGTTGACCTCAAAAAGATTGATTCAATATCTCAAAATTAAAAGATCAAAAACTTTTCCCAAACGACATCTTTTTCGAAAAATGTTACGAACAACGTTCTAAGTTGTGAAAAGTATGATGCAGTAATTGAAAAAGATGGTATACTGTAGCCTACAGAAGTGATAATTGGGACGATAAAGATAGCTGGGAAAGCTACAGTATACACCATTCGTGTCGTTTCTCGTTTCGTTTAGTACACAACTTAAGCCCCGGGTATGAAATAAGCCCTTTGTTCAAGGAGATGAATAGATAAAATCCTTTTCCCATAATACCCTGCTGTCGTCTGCAATGTCTGCCACCCAAAAGATAAGTATAGAGAAGCACGTAATGAGATGCTGAGAAAGTGGAGAAAGTTCCGAAAGAGAAGTAGAAGATCAAGACTGAGTAAAGAGAAGTAGTGATCGGAATTATGAGTACCATGGGTAGTCGAAAAGATCTTCAAGTGTTCAAAATATAACAAACATAATATTGACCAATAGGAACCCAGAAGAGAAACCCGTCTGTTTGATCCAGGTGTCTTGTATTGATTATTTGAGAAAACGCATGGTTATGAATTATATTCATATTCAATTTAATAAACAAACCATAAATAGATAATTGCCCTATATTATTACTAAGTGAGCCCCTATTATTAAATTCACTAGGTATACAAATACCTCGGAAAAATTATTTTCGACATATTTTTCAAACGATCGACCTGTCATCATCGTCATTGAAAATACTTTTAAAATGAGGCTTCAGAGGCCAACAAAAAATGGTATGTATTTTTTTATTCTTTTGATTCATACGTTTTAATGTGAATTAAGTTGGAATTCAAATACTGTTGTTATCATTAATTATTGTATCGATGTCCTCTTCTGAATATATGTGTCACTTTCTCAAATTAAAAAATTGAATCACATATCATGAGCAACATGAAAAATAAATTAAATCGTTTTTTTCACAATATTTTGGCTCTTCATGTCTATTTTCTAATAGTGCTAAAAATTCATACTTTAATCGAGCGCGAATCTTTTAAGATATACTATATAGAGAGGTTAAATTACAGGTATATTGGAGAACGTAAGCCTAATCAACCAGGCAAATAAGGGCCAGTGAGGTGAAAATAGTTCACATTGGACCAATATTTTACGCGTTTCACGTACAAATTTTTCAAAACAGTGCTACAGCCTCAGTCACATATGCTCAAGGGCGACTGTACGCCGACGTAGTTCCCTGAAATTGGCAAATTCCTTCGACAAGCTAGCGTCGCCTCACGGTCTCCGAACGTTGTATCAAGATTTTTTACAGGGCGTAGCCTTAGTGTCACCATAGATTGTTTTCATTACTACGGTCATCGTATGAGTTAACAAGCTTTAAGCCGTGACCATTCCGTAGAAAGTTTTCACGTTGGCCGTACGTCCGGCATAAGGTCGCCCTGCGGCTGCCCAATGAAAGTGAAATGAAAAAGTTACAACTCCGTTCTATAGTGTCTACGCCGACTCTACACCATGTACAGACTGTAAACACCGTGCAGAGACCGTTAAGCGACCATACTATGGTCGCCGCAGATGATTTCAGGGCACTACGGTCGACGTGTGGTCGCCGCAGAGCAAATGAGACTGAGGCTTATTACAACTGACCTTTGTGAACAACAATAAACAATTGAGTCGAACGTAGCCTCTCTGTACGGCCACCTTGTGATGCCTTGGTATTTTTCAAAAACTAAGCCCAACGTAGGGACGCCCTACAGAAACCATACGTCATCATTTAAAAGGCCGTACGGCAATCGCATATTTTCTATCTCTACAAAATAAAAATACGCCGTACGGCTACCGTAGCAAATGTGACTGCTAAAGTACCTGACCGTAGAATGTCAACGGCAGTCGTATAATTGCTATATGTCGTAGTAATAATAGACCATATGGTCGCCATAGACAGGAATATATGGGAATGCACGTTGTTCGCTATTTTGTCATCTCTTATAGATGTGATTCTGCCTCTAAATATTAAGCCATCGTGCTTCTTGAAATAATACTTGTGAAAGTAACACAGGTATTCCCCGAAATGGAACGAAGAATTTGTTTTATTATTGACTGTTTTTTGATTTTATTGACAAATGGTCACTGATTTGTTTGTGAGTAAATATCATGTAGGCCTATTAATTTCATTCCAGGCTTACATCTGTATATGTTGCTGCTTATTGTGGTAGTACTGGTTTGGATACCAGAACGTGTATGCTTGGAAGATTTCCAGGATCAGAAAGAACTCATCGAAGCCGGCATGGAAGGTTCGGCTGAGTTTTTCAGTTTCATCGGCGAAGGGGATTTCAAGAGCTCAATGAAAGCATTAACGACAACGTTTGGGCCACTCATGCTTTCAGTTGGTCCATTTCTTAGTTTTGTTATGAACTTCATTCAGGGTGATTCAGAAGAGTTGGCATTTATGAAAGAAATGATGAAGAAAATTGAAAATAGATTCGATAAAGTTGATGCACGATTTGACGACATAGAGCGAATGATTGACTGGACAGATGTCGCAGTAAACTTCGGGCAGATAGAGCAAAAGATTATGGCGCTGACTGAAGTATACAGATACCTTTACAAATATTCCTCTAGTTATAAAACTGCACACAGAAAGCTGTTTATAAAGGCATATGAGAGTAATTATGAACTCAGTGGGCTCAGGTTATACCAGGCCGTGGTATCCGCCGGCACTTTCCAGGAAAATCTCGGGGACTCCATTGTTAAGTTCCTTGAATATGACCGTAGTGCGACCCAGCATTTTATGCTAGGCGTGGTCAAGCTTCTTGTTCAAGCAGTAGAAATAGAACAAGCTTATCTACAGATTGAAGGGGCCGCAGACATTGCAGACGACAGCAGGGCATTATGGGAAAAAAGAATGCAAGAAGTAAAATCTACTTTTGAGAAGATTGATCAATCACTTACCGATGGGTACCTTGATCAATCGCTCAAGGACATTAAAAAATATGCTATCGACAATGCGAGAGATGCCACGAGTAATGAAGTATTTAGTAAGGGTCTATACGAGATGTTAACGACAAAGTTTTATTGGCGGGACTGGTTAGTTGTTGTCTATAATCCGATCGAAGGTTCGAAAAATCATTTCGTGAAACAATGCAATGGCCATATACTATTTCGACAAAATGGACGCAACATTGTTGTTGCAAGCGTTGATAAGAATGCTAAACCAATGGATATAGCCGCCGCTAAAACAGTAATAGGTGAAGTTGCTCGATCGACGGTTCTCCAAGCTCAAGACGTCGATAGAAGCATCTTCAAAACGACAAAATGGTCAGCTGAAAAGGTTTTCCAAGAGATCGAACAGGCGATACAACATCAACCCGTAGGAAGGTGTAGCTTTGGGGCGATTAAAGGAGGAAATGATATCCACGTGATATCTAAGGAAAATAGAGCGGTTGTGAAGGACGCTCAAGATTATTACAAGTTATTCTTGTTTGGCAAAAAAGAACCTGTACAAGCAATAGTATCAGGTTTACATGAAGGAATTGCCTCAGCAGCCGAAACCGTTGCAAATGCACTCAAGAATTTTAAATTCTCATTTGACAAAAAGTAAGATTTGCCTGACCAACATGAAGTATGGAAAGAAAATTGATAAGTACATGTCCACGTAGAGGTTTCTCATGTTTTAAGCCTTACGTTTTTTAAAGCCTAACATAACGCATTCACTAGATTATTGCAATTAAAACGAGATGCAGTTGCGGATAAGATTTAGCCGACAACCTGTTGTGCGTTTGTGCGAAACCTCTCTATTGTATAAGGATGTCATTTTATCCAAGAGTTTTTGCATTTCTGAAAACTAGCCTAATTGAAACCACACTGCTTTGAGGGTTCTCAATATCATTGAATATTATGTACTTGGATGTTTTAATCATTCTCTTAACCCCAGAATATGTGCGATGTATTTATCATGAATGTTTTTATCATTGTCTACATTATACTCAAGGGGCGAGGAGGAAAATTCTCAATAAATGGTGTATAGTTGGTTTGGCAGCATATTCAGGTAGGGGAGAGTCTTGGATGAAAGTTCCACCTAGGTGATAGCTTCGCAGAGTGGTAGGAAGTTCTTTTTTTTGAGGAGTTAGACCCCCACCCCCCAAAACACCCCACCCTGGGGAAAAAAATTGTTCACACTATATAACCTTAGATATTCTGATGTTTGTAAGTGACATACATAGATATTATATATATGAATCATTTGTAGTATAATTGATGCTAATTACTCCTAGAGAATTTGAATATTAGTACAAAGTGTGTACCCTAGGGGGCAAATTCGTGACTCATTTTCTTACTATTTTAATTCTAACTTTTCAATTAGACACTGTAAGAGGTTGAAAAAATTCATATGAAGTGCCCAATAGCAGGGTTAGTGACCCTAAAAGATGCAAAGCCATGGAAGAGGTAGGAGCTGAGAAAAATTTCGAAAAATTTGACAGCTGGATTTTGTGTACGACTATAGCTGACCCCTATAGTTTCTAGATCCATCCCTCTATGATGATATTTATGGTTTTATAGTGTGGAACTAAGATGTAAAACATAATTTAGATGGGTTTTAAGGAAGTTAAAGGTTTTAAACAAGTCCAAAATTTGAAAAATTGTAAATTTAAGGTTTCAAATTTACGAATTCCAGGTATAGCCATGGCTGACCCCTATAGTTTCTAGATCCATCCTTCTTTGATGATATTTATGCTTTTATAGTGTGAAACTAAGATGTAAAACATAGTTTAGATGTGTTTTAAGGAAGTTATAGGTTTTAAACAAGTTCAAAATTCGAAGAATCAGTAAATATAAGGTTTCAAATTTACGAATTACAGGTATAGCCATGGCTGACCCCTATAGTTTCTAGATCCATCCCTCTTTGATGATAATCGTTTGCAGTATGAAACTAAAGATGTAAAACATAATTTAGATGAGATTTAAGGAAGTTAAAGATTTTAAACAAGTCCAAAATTTGAAAAATTGTAAATATAAGGTTTCAAAGGACGATTCTCGGTTTGGAGAACAGTCTCCCGGGCTAATAATTTTTTTCATGAAAAATATAGAAATACTACCCAAATTAAACTATGAATATTCAAAAGAGGACATTTAAATCTACAAGATGTAAAAATAACAAATTGGTCTGAAGTAGGGATAACGCTCAATTAGACCGATTCGATTTAATGTGTAATATTCTGAAATATAATACAAAACATGGATGTTGGGCTTAAAATGAGCGGATTTATTTTTAATTAATAAATCTTATTACAAAACACATCTTACAAAACATATCATATTGATTCATATTGCCAATGCAAGTTGTTTACAATGCAAGGCAATATATAAAAACCGCCCTATGATAAACGTATATACATTTAATAAAATACAACCTACCCCTCTAAATTTGGGAGGGTGGGAGAGGAAAATCCATTTTTCAAGACCCCCAGCGAACTTCCGCCCAGAGTGCAATTTTACACTGAACGAATGTTGATCCCCGGGGATATTTCATACATCTCTTACATTAAAATTAATTTATAATATAAATATACATTAATGTGTAATATTCTGAAATATAATACAAAACATGGATGTTGGGCTTAAAATGAGCGGATTTATTTTTAATTAATAAATCTTATTACAAAACACATCTTACAAAACATATCATATTGATTCATATTGCCAATGCAAGTTGTTTACAATGCAAGGCAATATATAAAAACCGCCCAAACACCGCCCAACATCCGATAATCTATCTTGCTTCTATAAATTGTCAAGGAGACGATTTGATAAATTACATAGTACCTTTTTGGGTGTACGTATATATTCTTGATAACAGTTGCTGGCCCAACGGCCCATGATTTTTACTTCCCAGTCTTTTAAACCTGCAATACCAGCCTGTGTGGCTCCTCCTATTCGAAATGAATGACCACTGAATTTATTTGGATCATAACTCAAAATTGACATGTACAACTTTAGATGAGATATGAATGTACCTCTATTCAATTGCAGACCATTGCTATGCAAAAATAAACATTGACTGGATTGTGAACCTCTATTTTCGAGATAAAATTCTGTAAGACAAACTGCACACAGAGGCTTATTAGTGCAACCAATGGTGACATCAGAGCCTTTACCAATAGGATCTGTTTTTGATATGTTCAATCTGAGAACCATGTGTTTTAAATGTTCACCATCAGGTTGCTCTATGTGGACATCTGTGATATTCAAATTCAGTAACTCTGAACATCTTAAAAGACCAAAAAAGGCCACAGTCATTGCTGTTATATACATAAGTTCATTTCTATCATTTACATTATGCATCTCTAATAGTTTATACATAATATCTGCTGTAATTGCAGATTTTTTATTAGTGTTATCTTGTTCCATTAATACTGCTCTCAAAGCTCTTTTTATTTTGAAAGAATTTTCGATTGGATCTATGAATCCATGTTCCAAATGAAGTGATCTTATTGCGTATAAGTAACTTACAATTGTACCATGTTTTAAATTCTTTTCAAAACTATATGTGATAAACATTAATAAAGTTTCCTCTGATGCAGGAAGGTATTCATGTTTGACTTTTTCACAAAATTCAATAAAAGACTTCTGTCCTGATGCATAAGTTTTAATAGTTGTAGGACGTAGCCCTCTTTTTACCAATTCATCTGACCTCTTTTTTAACCCTTCACAGTCCAAGTGCCCTAAAACACATATAAATACTTTTGAGCAATACATATTTAATTAATCATAGACATAGTATAGTAGAAATACACACTGGCTTATTAAAATCAGTATTATACTTAATCACACTGTTAAAATAAAAAAGTCCATAGATATAAATAAACCCATCATTTATATAAGACTATTATGGGTATTAATAAAATTCCTGCAACTTAACAGGAATGCATTGTTTCACGGATATTGATTCAGTCATTTTGTAGAATCTATCCATTTGATTCCTACTTAATGCATCAGCTAAAGAGTTTGATACTCCAGGGATGTGTTGACTCCTACATTCACACTGATTGATAGCACAATAGTAAAATAATGCCCTTATCAATGACATTATATGTTTGTTTTTACAAGAACCTTTGTTAATTGCATGTACTATAGCCATATTGTCACAGTTTAACATAATTTTCTTTTGTTTAAATTCCTGGCTCCATGATGCTATAGCTACCACTATGGCTTTCATCTCTTTCCATGCAATATCATGGTTTCTATCATGTTTATCAAATACTCCTGCTATCCATTGCCCTTTATAATATGCACCATATCCTTTGTCAGATGCATCCGTGAAAAGATCCAAAGATTCATTTGTGATCCATTCATCATCATAAAAGAGCGATATCCCGTTCCACTCTGGTAAATATTTTATCCACCAAGATATGTCAGCTCTGAAACTTTTGTTAAGCTTAATTTTATGGTGTAGGTGTTTCACTTTTGTAGACAAGTCAATCATTCTCCGAAGAAATGTGCGACCTGAATGTACGACTCGACATATAAAATTTAGTTTCCCTATAAGGGATAACACTTCCCTTTTTGTTGCTTTCTGTCTATATCTCCACTGTTTTAACTGATGATGTATGTCAGTTAATTTTTCCATAGATATTCGAATTTCCATTTTTTCAGAGTCAATTTCCATGCCTAGGAAATCAATGCATGTTGTAGGCTGTACAGTTTTATTTATATTGCATGAAAATCCAACTTTTTCACAAGTACTGAGCATAGTGTTCAGATTATTCATACATACATTAGAATCGGGTGGACCACATGTGAAGTAGTCATCGATATAATTTATACAGTTTGATGCACCATTCATTGACATTATGAATCTTAACATTTCAGCAAAGTCACAAAATAGCTTGGGAGAACTACGGCACCCAAATGGTAATACCAAGTCTACAAAATACACAGTTACATCTTCATCATTTATCTCATTTTTCATGGTCCATGTTGTACCCAAAAGTTCCCAATCTTCTCTCCTAACTGGTATATGTTTAAAAGCATCTGTAAGGTCCAATTTACTCATTAAACTGTTTTGTCCATTGATCTTAATTAACGATATTGCATCATCCACTGATATATAAGAACATGAATATTCATCCTTGGATATAAAGTCATTTACAGATATGCCGGGTGGCCACGATAAGTCATGTATTATCCTGTACTTAACAGGGAACGAGTGTCTTTTAGGAAATACACCCGTCGGGGATCCGACAAAGTTTTGAAACGGTTTATTTATAAAAGGTCCTGCTTTTCGACCATTTTTTATTTCTTTGGATAAATTCGCCTCCACGGCTTCTCTGTAAATTTGAGTAGATTTCCAGTTTGAGTGTACTCTAGTGATCCTTGGACCTTTGTAACCAATATTGACACCAAATTTTCCATCATGTAGTATTCTAGACACAAATTCCTTATCAGGATGATATTGAAGAGCATGGCTTATGTAATCTAAATTCAGTGGATTATACTGCATTATTTCCAATGGATTTTGCGCAATCACATTTTGTGTAAGGCAACTTTTTAGATTTACAATTTTTGCACACATGTTTCCTGAAGCATCGCTCTCCGAAACTGCACTCACCATATTGATATTTGTTGCATACTTCTCCAGTTTTGTCACCAATCTTTGTTTTCTCCGACGTTTTATTTGTTTCCACCTTGTTGTCCTCACGAAAAGGACAATTAGATACAAGGTGGTCTCCTTTGCATCGATAACATCTTGTTGTTGATTGTTTCACAGCAGATGCATCCAAATTAGTTGTGTACAAATATGTATCTATAGCGCTAAATTTGAATGATTTGGTAGCTCCTAATTTTATTCGGAATTTTGTATCGTACTGGTAAACTGCTGACCAATTGTACTTTTTGTCACAATCTTGTATATGAGATCTGTAGTCACGAAGCTCATTATATACTCCAGGGTGTTTCTCCATTACTATTAGCTCATAAATATT